AAAGTCTAGGACATTTGAGGCCTTCATGTATTTGTCTCTACCCTTAGCTTCTACAAGTAAATGTACATTACAGGTAAGCTTGAGGGAAAATGATTTTTGAATAAATGCTGTTTATATGCATACAAACATATACTTTATTCAGCAATTTCTGCTCTTTACTCTTTACATAAACGTTTTATAGGTAAAACTCACATAAATTTTAATTACGTCTGATTAGAAAAACTTAAAAGATTTTTTTTTTAAAGTTCTCCTTTTTAAAAGGTATTTTCCTATTAAATATTCTTTTAGAATTGATGGTTTTTAAACTTTACACTTTGAAGAAGTTTGAAAATTGTATATTGATTCTAATTTAGGTTCACTTTTATAAGAATTTGTTCTACCTGGGGATCAAATAAATAGCTCTTTTCCTCACACTAGCGGAATTTAGCTAGCTTGTTGATAAGTTTGTGTTTGCTTTCTCGAGAATGTCCTTTCTTCCAGCCAGACTTCCTGAGGCATCAGGTAGAGGGCAGACACGCAGGACTGCTTCCCTCACCACGCACTGCACTCTCCCTACTGTCGGCTCTTTCCTCGGGGTTCCCCACTAGGCCCAAACCTTTATGAGGGGACTGTTTTCTTGGTTCACTCTTGGATCTGTCCTGCCCGCAGAGTAATTTCCTGAGTAGATGCCGAGTGATACTGTGAAGAAATGAATTAATGAGTAACTACTACTTGTTTTTGCCTCCAGGATTGCCTTAGATTATTTTCCAAAGAAGAGAAGCTCACAGATAACAATCGGTTTTATTGCAGTCATTGCAGAACTCGACGGGATTCTTTAAAAAAGATAGAAATCTGGAAACTGCCACCTGTGCTTTTAGTGCATCTGAAACGGTAAAGGAAACAAATTTTTCTATAATATTAGATGAAGGAATTCTAAATCCTTTGAGTAATTTTGTTGTACTGCCTGCTAAGGATGCATTACAAAGGAAAATTATCTCGTTAGGGAAATAAGGCAGAAATGAGGAGACTCTTGTTCCTTAACTTAGTGTTTGCAATAACAGCGCAAAATGTTAACATGACTCTTTCATGTAATTTCAGTTTTTTTAATTTCAATTTTTAATAAATGAAATTACTGCATTTCAAATGTAGAATTTTACATCCTTATAAAACATTAAATGAAAATAGCCAATAAAATTTATCAAACACTAAACTAAAAAAGATTTAATCATGTGCTGAAAATGAAATACAGACTGTTTCAAAGATTTATTTTAGAGCGAGCATGTACCTGCAGAGGGAAAGTCTTGAGAAGGTTGAGAGTCTCAGACTCCCCCATCAGCATGGAGCCCAAGGTGGGGCTCAACCTCATGACCCTGAGTTGAAATGAAGAGTCAGGCACTTAACCTAGGTGCCCCTGAAATACAGGATGTTTTTAAAATGTAGCCTTAAAGATGTTAAAGATGCCAGTGTTGGGTGCAGACCTTTTTGTCCAGATTTTTCCAGCCTGTGAGAAAAACCTAATAGAAGGATGAAGAGCAGAAAGTTGTAAAACATGTCTCAGTCTTTTGGATTTTTTTGTCTTTATATATAGTCTATCCATGGAGTAATAACTATGAGTCATTATTTTTAAAAACTGTTAAGTTTCATCTTTTTATTGAGAGCTGTAATTTTTGTTTCAAAGAAAGCATTTCTGTTATTTGTTTCATTTTGTATTACTGAAGATTCTTTGGCAGATATGATCATTTCAGCATTGATGTGTTCAAATTCCTCATGTAAATTTTCTAACAAAAGCTTGTTACATCAGTTTTTCTCTTGAGGATTGTAGAGGTATAGAGAAACATTCTTTAAATGATTATACATTTGTTCTCTTAAAATTTTTAATGACGCATATTCTTTGCAGAATATCTAAAAATATAAATGGTTCAGAATTCAGTTTGAAAATTAACTCAATATTGTAATAATACATATTATATGTAATATTATAACATACCAGTATTTTGGCGTTTTGAGTAAGTCAGGACAGTGGAATGCCATTACAGTTTTCCCCTGCTATGCAGAAAGCGTATTCCTGTGAAATCTTTCGTAAGCCAAAATGACAAAAAGCAAAGAAGCGGTTAATTTATATGGAAACTCTTTGAACATTTCCAGACCCCCAAAATAACCTTCTCTTGGGCTTTTCGTAGGACATATCTTGCAAACAGATGCACAGAGTAAGTCAAGATACAACACAGATGCCAACAGTTCAGAGCGGTGGCATCTTGATGCCGAATATTCCAGGCAGGAAGCTTGGTGGTGCCACTCCCGCTGCTTGGCAGGGCCAGGGCGTCTGCTGCCCCCACCAGCGTATTGCAAAACACAGGCTGCTGAGCTTTTCCCCTTTTTTCTTAAAGGCAGAAAGCCTCTTTAGATTTCTTTTGGTTCGCAAAAACAGGTACTAATCCAATTGTTTTGTAAAACAAAGCAGTGTCACACTAACTTTTGAGAAGCAGGGGGTCCTGTGTAATCTGCGGGCTTGCAGTTTCCAGCTCCAGTGTCCCCAGTAGTACCATCTTAAATGTAGAGCTGCTCTCCTCAGTCTTTCTTTTGTACTTGTGTAGTGACTAGCATTATAAACATGGGACATCATAGCATGTTGCCTTTGTAGACCCAAAGGCTTAGAGATCCAGGGACCAAGGTAGGAGTAGGACTCTGTCTTTACTCCCCTTAGCTATTTGACTTAGGGCAAGTCATATCTGTATGCCTCAGTTTTCTCGTTTGTAAAGTAGAAATGAAGACACACGTCTTTGCGGTCCTTCCACTACTGAAATTCCGAGTGTGTTTGAAATGGTTTATGGTCCTGGCTAAAAATCTAGAATGTTAAAGAATGAATTAAGAATCCTTCTGAGATTTTTGGTCTGTTGGTATAATTGCTGTCATGTTTTGCTCTGCAGTTTTTCCTATGATGGCAGGTGGAAACAAAAATTACAGACCTCTGTGGACTTCCCCCTAGAAAATCTTGACTTGTCACAGTATGTTATTGGTCCAAAGAACAATTTGAAGAAATATAATTTGTTTTCTGTCTCAGTGAGTATCTTGTCGAACTTAATATTTTCATATTTTGCTTACAAAGAAGAGGTTCAAGTGGTTCCTTACTTCATAGGAAAAGAACAAAGCTTTTTTTAAGAACAAAGTTTTAAATTATCAACATATTCTGAATAATTCAAACTGATTTTCAACCTCTTTTGGCACAGAATCACTACGGTGGGCTGGATGGAGGCCACTACACCGCCTATTGTAAAAATGCAGCAAGACAGCGGTGGTTTAAATTCGATGATCACGAAGTTTCTGATATCTCGGTTTCTTCTGTGAAGTCTTCGGCAGCTTATATCCTCTTTTATACTTCATTGGGACCACGCGCAACTGACGTAGCCACATAAAGAGAAGTAGGTTTAAGCTAGTTGTCTTTTAAGAAGCTGCGCAACACCACTCTTGATATACTTACAAAGATACTGGATAGCTGTAGCTGGCCCTGTAGAGGAATTCTAGGACAGTGAGGGCTGTGTTACTATCACCATATCTTTTAGGTCAGTGCTATTATCGAAAAACTGACTAATAATATTTAACAAGTATCGCAGTAAGCACTCCTTACAGGTACCATTTATTTCAAAACCTTTATAGTTTGCTCCAAAGTTAAAGTACTTAACTAGCTAAGCATTATTATTCTATAGCATTCTATTCTAAAAACCATTATATCTTTATTTTCCTTTTCACTGTTATGGCCTTTTCACATTTCTAAATCCCAGCTTGATCTATGAATACTCTAGAATGATGTAAAGCAGATAGGAATGTATGTGTATATATTTATTGCACACTTGCACATCAAATCAATGTACATAATATAATATGTGGTCTTTTTGTGAAGCCTAGAACTCAGAGGATTGTTTGTTTTTCTTTTGGCCTATTCTGAGTAACTGCAGTGCTTTCTTAGGGAAATGACAGGGCAAGGCTATTTTTTTGTTGGCTTTGGGCTGTATTTGTGCACTAAATCTTTATTCTAAAAAAATAAATGGAAACTTTTCTTTAATTTTTTAAAATGAGAATTTTCATTTACACCTACATTAAAATCTTAATGAGAAAAATAATTTAAAACCCTGTAAGTGTTCTGTCTTTAATTTTATATTAGCAAACCATTTTAGACACACACACACTTTATCCTACTGTATTGATTGAATGTTTAGTTCACCTATACTGTTGCATTAGGACCTGACTTTACTCTGCCTTCAACTTGATCCAAAACTGCATATAGCACTTGGGATTCTCAGGGTTGAAAGTCAGAGTTAAAATAGAAAGTCAGGAGTCAGCATGACTGCAAAGTGAACTACATTAAGAACCACATCTTTACAAAATGATGTATTCAAAGAGATAGAATTTATGATTTACCTCATGGACTCAGTTGCTATAGATGAAATAAAAACTCTCCATATAAAAATTATAAAATAAAAACTCTCCATATAAAAAGATTGTAAAAGGTGCTTCTGAAAGATGTCACTACTGGTGGACTGTCCAGGAAGGGATGGGTTTTGAATTGTGAGGTTGGCAGCCTTTCAAGAGACTGATTAGAGTTCTTGACTAAGTGGTCTGATTAATTTCTTAAGGTCACAGAGCCACTTGAACAAAACTTACTTTGGTTTAGCTCCATGAAGTCTCTTTGGAAAATAATTTGTTGGATATATATAATTGAGATACTCTAGGATAAAAAATTTCACCTAAATAAACATCGAGTTTTGAAACCTGAAATTTATACATAATTTGCAGTGCTTTGAAGGCCCCCAGCGAGTAGCATTTCATCATTTTCATGCTGCCTTTTTCAGTAAGCCCAAACCTGTCTGTCGTAGAGCCTTATTATGTAAAAGGGCACATAATATACCAGAAAGACTTAAAAATGCCAGTGATGCAAGTAAGTTGCAAGAGTTTAATGACAAAGCAAAACTTAAGTAACAGTTTCTGATCGCTTGTTTTGCAGTTTCCAGGAAATACCCTTTTTCCTAGCTCTTGCATTTTGTTACAGGTATAGAAAAGGGCTGGCAGCTGTAGAACAGGAGATAGGCTGTAGCAGTTTGAACTGAAGTATCTGGAATCTCACTGACTCGTGTGTCATCAAAGCTATACCAGGCCTGGGTCACTGAGTTCTTGCAGAAAGCAGTGTAATGGCCACCATCCAGGTCACCAAAGTGGTTCTAGGGGAAGAAGTAATGTCAGACTTAACATTCACATGCAAATAACTCTACTGAAACAAAACAGTAGGGCCAAGAATATTCTTCATAATTGTCCCTTACACTAAATTAAAAGGTAGTGGTAATATTGTTAAATCCTACATATGGCCTGACTGCTGTGTTACTTTTCATTCATCGAACTGCTTATAAGTTGGGCCCATTGACTATGTAAAGAGTCTGTGAAGGAGACTCTGTGAATGAAAATACAATAGTGTTTGGCGGCATCGAATATTTATCATTGAATACTGAGCACCTACTAGACCAGACTGTTAAAGACTAAAGGAAATTGTAAAATAAGAAGAGCGTGCTCTTTCCTAAGTGAGCGCACAATTTTGAAGATAGGCTAAGGAGGGACATGAAAAAAAGACAAACAACTGCATGAGGAACTTGGGCAGCAACACCCCCTCAGTCATGGAACGTCCGAAGAAGAACCTGTTTCATTCCCTTCCCCATGTCTTTCACCCAGTAAAGGAACGTGTGAAACAGACACCGCAGAGCCCCACTTCGCAGAAGGTGGAGGGTGAAGAGCAGGGGTAACAGACCAGTTGCCCATGGGCCAAATGCGGCCTGTTTTCGCGTGGCCCGTGAGTTAAGAATGCATTTCGTATTTTGTTTGGTTGAAAAAATATTTTGTGACATAAAAATTATATAAAACTCAAATTTCAGTAAATAAAGTTTTATGGGAACACAGCCATCCTCATTCATTTTATGTTTCTCAGTGGCTACTTTCACACTACAATAGTAAAGCTGTGTAGTCGTGAGAGAGACCATGTGGCCCATGAAGCCTAAAATATTTACTATCTGGCCTTTTACAGAGTAAGTTTGCTGACCCCTAGTATAGAGGGGAAAAGATGGATTTTTTTTTTTTAAAGGTTTTATTTCTCGGAGAGAGAACAAGCAGGGGGCAGCTGCGGCAAGGAGAGGGAGAAGCAGGCAGACGCTTAACCACCAGAGCCACCCTGGCATCCCAGAAGATGGATTTTTATAGTCAGTTCTGACTGTAAATTCAGGTCTAATACTATACAATGCCCTTAAGGAAATTACTTAAACTTTCTGAGCTTTAATTTCCCCACCTATGAAAATGGGGTAGTAAGACATGTCTCACACAGCAGTTATCAGGTATCTTTGATATTACAGAACTAGCACGTAGGAGGTACTTAAAAATGTTCCCTTAGGCCTTCATCTTCCCTACCTCTCACATTACAGGTTACAGAAATATCCCAAAGCTGACACTTAAAAGATCCAAGCTCTAGTCCTGGTCCTTGCCCTATGACCTTAAGCTGATATGCTTTAGCTTCCTTATTTATAAAATGGTGCCCATGAGGTGTGATACAATTTGAGAAAAAAACAGCTGGTGGATATGTAGTGTCCAGAAGACGAAGTATTGTTCGGAATGGATCAAACTGATCACAGCTGGAGTGTTACATCCAGTTTGGATAACTTAATGTCAAAAAGATTTTTGACATAATCGAAGATACATCTTTCTACACTTGAATTTCTAGCAGTTATGGAAGACAGTGTGAAAGCCTTAGTTACAAAACTAAGGGAAGTTGGATAAACTTGGTAAACACCCTTTGAAATCCATGACTGGTACTGAAAGAGTTTATGGTGAGACTAATCCCCAGGGACCGACAACAGGAAATAAAAGAGCCACATATTTGGTTGATGACATGACTGCCTGGGTGTAAAGACCGTTCCTAGTTTCTGGAACCAGGTGCCTGTGTTTCAAAGGTTACACATGCACAGGACGTGAAGTCTTAGGTTTCTGCAAGCGGGGGCATTGGACTGAGAGCCACGCGCATAGCCAGGATTCTTACGGACACTCACCCTCAGTAAAGGATAAACTGTACTTGTCTTAGCTTATGCTCTTGGTGCAGAGAGTCAGTCATTCCTAGAATTTGTGGGCACAGACTTACTTGAGATTCAAAATTATACTACCTGCATGGCCTCAGAAGCCTGTGAATTTATTTTGGGCGTTATTTTGAGAATTATTTGAGTGGCACTTGGCAAAAGAAAAGAGAATTACATTCTGTTTCCAGATAGGTGTGCTTTAATTCAGGCTGTACGAGATCCACACATACAAAAACCACAGTGATGTTCCACTCATGGTTCAGAATTACAGAACACACATGGAAACAGCCCTCCGTGAGTAAGAGTCAGAAAGCAATAAAGAGCACGATTAACTCCCCCTCCCGAGGACTACATAATGGATTTACCAAACAGAGACTACCAAAAAAGCGTGTTTAAAGTGATAGACAGGGGCACCTGGGTGGCTCAGTAGATTAATCTGCCTTTGGCTCAGGTCATGACCCCAGGGTCCTGGGATCGAGACCCCAATCGGCCTCCCTGCTCAGCGGGGACCCTGCTTCTCCCTTTCCCTCTGCCAGTAGCTCTCCCTGCTTGTGTTCACTCCCTGTCAAATAAATGAATGAAATCTTAAAAAAAATAAAATAAAAATAAAGTGATAGACACTTAAGGAAGCTAACAAAAACTAGAGAACTTCCAAAAATGAAAAATACTTCATAATTCAGTATTAAAAAGTTGGTATAGAAATTAAATAGTACATAGAACTGGAGAGACTGTGAATAAACTATAAAAATGAAGCTAAGGAAATTACCCTGAATGCAGTAGTGATGGAAAATTGAATAAGAAGATTCAGTGTATGCCTAGTAGTAAAAGAAAAACTGTATTACAGGAGCAAGACCATGTTAAAATGATGATTGGAAACCATTAATAAAAGTCATGAATCTTCAAATTTGGGAAATACGATGAACACTAAGGGTAAATAAAAATATTACTGCAGAACAACAAAAGCAAAGAAAAATCTTGAAAACTACCAGAAAGGATAGTACACATTTCTGCAGGCCAGAAGGGATTGTCCTGATATCCTCAAAATGCTGAAAGGAAAAAACCTGCAGTGAAGGGTACTCCACCCAGCAAGGTCATCACTCAGAACTGGGCGGGAGCTGGGTGCCTGGCAGAGCGCATACTAAACACCGGGGCGTGACAGAAGCTGAGTGTGGCCTCTGCACGGAAGATGCCAGGCAAGTTCCTGAGAGAATTTCCCCAAACAAAGGTGAGAGGAGTTCATCCCCACTAAACCGGCCTTACAAGCAAGGTTAGAGACTTTAAATTTAAGTGAAAAAGAAAAGGCCATAAACTAGAAGAAAATTATGAAAGGAAAATTTTTCACAGGTGAAAAAGCAAACACACAGGAAAGGTAATAGATCACTAATTAAGCTAGTATAAAGATTAAAACACAAAAGTAGTATAAATTATATCTACATAAGTTGCTCAAGGAATATAAAAAAGGATGTATAATAGGTCATGGATATTACATAAAACTTAGAGGAGGGAATAAAATGTGCTTTTAGAATGTGTTCAAACTTAACCATCAAACTTAATACAGACTGTTGCAGGACGTTACACAGGAACCTCTGCTAACCACAGACCAAAAACTTACAATACACAAAAAATAAAGGAGTCCAAGCTTAACACTGAATAAAGTCAGAGGGCAAGAGAAGAAGAAAGGAATAGAGAGGAACTACAAAAACAATCAGCAGTGAACAAACTAGCAATAAGTACCTGTCCATCGGCACTTCAAATGTAAATGCGCTGTAGGAGCCGGACAAAGGACAGCAGGACTGAACGCATGAAAAACAAGCCCCGTCTCCATGCTGCCCATTGAGAGTCTCTCCTCAGACCTGAAGACACAGAATGAGGCCCTGGCTGGCTCAGTCAGGGTGGTGTGTGACTCTTGGTGTCGGGGCTAGGTTTGAGCCCCATGTTGGCTGTAGAGATTACTTAAAAATTAAAAAACAAAGGGATGGAGAAAGATATTCCATGTAAATGAAAACAAAAAACGCTGGGGTGGCAATCCCTGTATCAGACAAAGTGGACTTTGAAACAAAGGCTATAATAAAAGACAAGGAAGGACTTTACCTAATAAGAGATTAAATCAATAAGAAGACCTAATTGTCAATGTCTATGTACCCAGTAGAGGAGCAACCGGATATATAAAGCCAACATTAAATGGAGTCAGAGAAGATGGTGGATTGGGAGGATCCCAAGCTCACCTTGACCCACAGACACAATGAGATACCTGCTCCATCTATACAACGAGCTCTGAAAATGAGCTGAAGACGGGAAGAAGAGACCCTCCACTGTTTATCTACAGGGAAGGCCACACATCAAAAAGGGTAGGAGGTATGGAGACAACCTACCCCTGGTAGGACTAACCACGAACAGGAGGGACACCACGAGCACAGAGAAGGGAGAGGATCAGACCCCACACCAGGCACCCTTAGCACTGGGGACCTGCCCTGGAAAGATAAGTTCCTAACATTCGGCTTTGAAAACCAATGGGGATTTACTTTGGGAGCTTCAAAATAATCAGTGGGACTTAATCCTAGGAGAGCCAGAAATAGGAAATCGGAAACCGAGTCCTTGCCCTTAAAAGCCAGCATAAGGGGCACCTGGGTAGCTCCATCCTTAAGCATCTGCCTTTGGCTCAGTACATGATCCCAGGGTCTCGGGATCGAGCCCCGCATCAGGCTCCCTGCTCTGTGGGAAGCCTACTTCTCCCTCTCCCACTCCCCCTGCTTGTGTTCCCTCTCTCGCTGCGTCTCTCTGGTCAAGTGAATAAATAAAATCTTAAAAAAAAAAAAAAAAAAGGCCAGCATAAAAAATTCAGCCAGGGGAGATCTGATCCAAGATGATGATGTAGGAAGACCCTGACTTCACATTCTCCACAGAACACACCAAATTACATCTGTTTATAGCGCAACTCCTGAAGACCTGAGGGCCAACTGAACAGCCTCTGCACCACAGGAGAAGAGCAAAAGGGAACAGCAAGAGAAATGGGGACCCAGGAATGAAGGGTCTGTGGAGAGGAATACTGAAGGACCAGGAACAGATTCCTCTGTCCTTGGGCACAAAAAATAAACCTAGCATTTTAAGAGAGC